AATCATAATTGCTAACTATGAATAGAGTAATTTATATATCCTTTTTGTTTGTTTCAAATGTAATATTGTTCAAATTGTGTGGTATAACTGATAATCTAACTACTAGACAGGTTTTTGGTAATTAGTATTTTATGTTAGTTACTAATTTTAAACACCTTTGCTTAGGATGCTGAAATTTTTTTTTTAAAAGAAGTTTAACTGATATTACAATTTAAAGAGAACGATGCTATTTTTATTTTATCTCTAAATTGTCTATTATACTTACGTGATTGGTTGACATTTCAATAAAAGTCTCATCAGCTGTCAATAATATCGATTAGAAATGTGAACTCGTAAGTAAATATGAACATGATGTCTGTTTAATTATGGCCAAGAAACATGTGTACTATTTTATATTTAGATGTGTACTTTGGTAAAGTATTGACACTTAACTGTTCTGCACTAAATAGGAATCAACCAAAATGTCACAAGGTTTATGGAATTTTTATCTTCAACTAAACAAAATGGTCGTTTAAGTGTATTGCTTTAAATCCCTAGTACATCTTATAGAATATTTTTTCGTTAAAAGCAAACAATAACTAGTTAGTTAATTTGATTCTCTGCTTATTAGCCCTTATTCACAAGATAAAACTAAAATCTTGCAAAAAGCTTACAAAGATTATGATGTAAATCGCTTTACTGATTCTAGTTTCTTCAGAATTACAGAACTATTATTTTGATGCGTAAAAGTAAACTCAAAACTTAGTTGTATAACTTCCTGTTGGGTTCGTTTGAGTTTATTAAACTCAGTCACATTCTAGTGTAGTATTGAGATTTATGAATTCTGTTGACTTGTGTGCTATTTAGCATGGATTAAATGATATCAGTACTTCAAATGAAAGTTCCACATCAAACTAGTGTACTAGTTTTTTTTAAAATATCAATAAAAGCAATTGAAAAATATTAAACTTTATCAATGAAGGATATTGTAGACAGCTAAATAATTGATTACCAAAACTAACCACTTAAACTTTTGAGTTTATTCAAAGAGATATGAGAAACCACTCTTTGAAGTATTTCATCTTTTAAGTGAGGTATAATACAAAGAGGTAGTTTAGTGATGAGAATGTAATGTGTTAGACTGTTATCATCAAATAGAGGTGATTATTGGAGGTACTATGAACTTTAAAGATAAATAGCTTACTTCTGTAACGTTGACTATTGTCATGACACTAGAATTGATTTCATGAAATACGGGACTGACGAAAATGATCAAACAGATGATCTGTTCCAAAAAATAATCCCCGAAAACCCTTTTCTGAACTTAACAGATTTCAAAAGACAGAACCACTAACAGAATGGCCCAGTATAATATCACAGTATTTCTAAAAGCCTTTTCTTCAACCAAGCTTTGATGAGTTGTTATATTACAGCTATTAAATAAGGATAAACATTTAATCTTGAGATAACATTTTGTAAGTAACTTGCAAAGCAAACTTAATTTCTGACTTCCTGTATACTTTTATGTTAGTGATGTTGCTTAGAAAGACTATAAAAGCTTCATAGGTAAATCGTTCAGTTTTACCAACGCAAAACCACTGAGTTGAGAATGAAGTTCACGAAACAATCATTGATTTTTTACTTCTTTCCATCTTATCAAAGTGCATACTACCAGTATCTTACAACATAAATGAAAATAAGCCAAATAATAGAAATGTTTCATGAAACTAGACAGAAATTATTTTCACTTATGTTCTAACAAATTTTTCAATTCAAAATACAATGCTAGTGTAAGGTTGTAACCAACTTTAGGAAAATTGACCATGATTATGTAAAGACATTAGAACCGTCAAACAAATTTTTAATTACTAAACAGAACTGCTTATAGAAACGTTTATTCTCTAGTCATCAGTTAAGATGAAAATGAAGCATATCAATACAAAAATTTCAAGTGATATAACATAACATATTCAATGATATCAGGTGTATTTGGTACTCATTTCATTTCATTCAATACGTATCCTGACTTTATTGATCTGATTATTTTCTTCAGGCATTCACTGTGATCATTTGTATTCTCTATTTTTATTATGTTTAATTAATGGTACTGATATCTCTTTAGGTGTGGTCATTTAGGTTGATAAACTATTCTATCAGGTACTAGCACTTCTTTCGGTTTTACTTAGCTAATTTAGAATTAACTCACTTCAATAAGTACAACAGGTTGACATTTTTTGTTTCTGATTAGTTATCGTATTGTGGGATACTTTTTATCAGTATCATCTTTTGATAGTCGAATCTTCATTGATACTTATTTATTTATATCCGTAACAGTGTACTGTATTATTCTAAGCTTAATCAAAAGAAATAAATTATTCTCGATGAATATATTTGAATCTTATTAAGTATAACTGAAATTTTGTTTTGATTTTATCAATCAGAATGATCTTTTGAATCATTGTTTTATTTATACTCCTGCATGACTTAAAAATTATTATTTTGTTAAGATTACTGTAAAATTTCATATTATCTACCTTAAGTAAGTTTTTATTACATATATTCTAAAGTGATTTCTAATATGTTAATCTATATTATAGTTAAATATGCTTGATTTATTGTCAACTATTAATTGATAGAGTACATAACTCTCAATTTAATGACTAGGGAATTTACTCTCGTTCATTACTGTAATATCAGTTTGTAATTTTAAACATTCAACCATAATTATAACCGACTACTTATTGAATTTAAACGGATATAAAAAAATATATTATCTAGTGCATTTGCTGATCATTGATTGATCTTCTAGTTGAAGTCATTTCTAATACGAAAACCATTCTCAAGTTGTACAAAATGTCCAGATTCCATGAAAATAAATAATGATTTTCTAAGTAAAATGATAAGTGAATAGCTTTGAGGTAGATTTCTAAAACTTCTATTGAGAACTAGTGAACTATATACAGTATCAAACATGAAATGGTAATGAGAGACACATTTTCTGAAGTGTTAAATTTGTCTAATTAGTATTCTGTATACATTAAGTATTTAAATGAATGACAAATACAAATATACGCATCAGGTTTCGGTTTAAGAAAATATTATGAAATCATCAGTCATTCATTGTCAGACCATCATTAGAAACCTGGAAGCGCTGGACGGTCGTTTAGTCCTGGTATGGGACTCATCAGCAAAACATATCCATGACTTCTGTACCTCGCAGGACTCAAACCCAGGACCTTTGGTCTTGCGCACGAACGCCTAACCTCTAGACCACTGGGCCGGCATCCTACGGCGTTAACGTCCAACTCTGATCAATCAGTTAACACCATTGGATGCTGGCCCAGTGGTCCAGAGGTTGATTAATGATTTCAATGTGTAAAAACACTAATCTCCATATTTCTAATTGAAAATAACTATGAAATATTGTGAAAATAATAGGCTATCTCCAAAGCAACACCCATCACGTTGATACTTGTTTTAGTTCAGTAGACTTATTTTTGTCTTCAGTTTATTTTATTTATAGTTTCTACTTGAAAGCAATTGGATTTTTCAGATTATTTTTTGATCATTATCTGAAACAATATTATCAATTTCAGTAGTATTTTTTTCTTTCGCAGTGAAGTTTTTATTCACTAAATTGCCTACTTGCTCAAATGTAAAAGTTTGTTTAGATAGAAGAAAATTATTCCCATCCAAAAAGTAGAATGTAGCGTTTATGAATTGCTCTCTACACGCAATAATAGAATTGAAGCTTTCAGGTAGAGATCCTTGAACAACAGATTAATCAATCAATCATATGATACCTTCAATAGTGATTGAATTTCCTTTGCAATTTTTCAATGTGTTAACAATATAAAACTTTTCAACATTTATCTTTATAATAGATACTGATGTAATCAACCATTGTAATTGTTATTCAGGATTAGTCAAGACATTTCTAAAAAAACTAATAAATTTACTTAAAAAAATTCAATAACAAATATACAAAATTAAGAATTTAATTTAATAAGTATTGAATTACTTGAACATTGATCATAAACTGACTAGTGTCTTTATGATTATCAAATAAATATTACCCTGTATTTTCTGTGAATTACCCTTCGACTGATAAATATATGGAACGAAACACATATCGATAACAAATCACCCAGTTTAGCAATGACATTGTTAACGTGATTACTCGAACTCATTAAGCTCAAATATCTGTAGGACATTATTATTCTGGCCAACTCTTCAATGAAAATAATCTCTTGCTCTGAATATGACCTGAATGAAATGATTTGTTACTGTTATAGTTTTTCAAATCTATTGTTACAGTAACTTTATAGATTTTGAAAGATGTAATTAGTTGAAAAATGTCAGCTATCAATATTGACTATCATCAAATGAATAACTGCTTCAAAATGACTTTCAATATGTTAAATGATGTCATTTAGTCATTAAAGTCTAATGAAAATTCACTTGAATTATAAAATTCATACTTTCTTACATTTGGCATGACCTAACTGACACATTGAAAATTAAAGAGCACCAGACAAAACTGATTTGGACGAAATTAGAACTATTTGAACAATTCACATATTACTGAAATGTATCATTTCAAAGTTTTTGAATCATTCTTCATTCTACAGCAACTCGTATCGTTTGGTTTACGAAATAAAAAAAAGGTTATCAGTTCATGCTGGTCAAACCAACATAAAGCAACTTTTTTTTTATTTTAGTTGATATCCGATTACAATAAACTCGTGGCATAAAAATTTCTCTTCAAACTAGTTAAATAAATAAAATAGTAAACGTAATTTATTTCATGTAGGAATTATTGGAATTTCATTTCTCGATGCATTTTACCAATAATTTCTCTTTCAAAAGTTTATTCATCAAGTTTTAACGTGAAATTATTGATCCAGTTAAATGTTAATTCTGCATGAACTTTGTACTTTCACCTATTGATTATAATAGCTAAAAAAAGTATTTTTATTGATTTTATATTTTCGATTATTTGATTACTGTTTTAATTCAAGGATCATATAACCGGTGTTGTGACTGTTGATTATTGAATTAGTAAGTCATACTTTTTAGTTATTACATGTTATACTATTGGAACATAAGTTAATTTCACAAAGTATATGCATATTCATCTTTATTTGTAAATGAATCGTGAATACTGTTCAAGTTTTTGATGTCTTAGCAAAATGATTACCAAATTGGCTTTGAATACTTTGCAAAAGTAATTACATGTTACATTGAAATAATGATGCTGTCATTGTTAGACCACTACTGGAAACCTGGAAACACCGAACAGCGGTTTCGTCCTAGTATCGGACTCTTCAACAGTGCACATCACCGACCCCACGAACAGTGATTTCCAAGAGCGGGACGAAGCGGCCTTCCAGTGTTTCCAACAGTGATCTAACAATGACCAATTCATTATTTCAATGAAACTTAACAATCTCCATAACTCGATAATGAAAAATTATTTGTTAGTTTAAATAGTTTTGAAAGTTTATGAATTTGTTATTTCGATAAACAACTAGCATGGCAAACATTTTTTGATGTGACTAGAGCACTTATCATTATTCAACTGTTCAGTGTATGACATTAGTTTAGTTTGTATTAAATAATGTCAATACTCTTTGAAATTTGCTTGCTTAGTTTACTGTTAGATACTATTTCGAGTAATTATGATAAACTGAAATATATTTAGTCTTTATTTTCTTGAATTGCTTAATTGTAGGCCACTTTAATCAATCAGAACTACAAAAGCTAATTATAATCTGTCCTTGAGGAATGCTTTAAACGGTTGATTTTAAGTTTTAGAAAATTTTCACATAACTTCCTACACGTGATTCGCACTTTATTGAGAGCTTAATCGAATTTACACTTAGTTAATTTGCATTACGGGGTTGTGAAGATTGTTAAGTTACACATTTTTGAAACCATGAATCGATCAATGTTAGACCACCGGCTCAGTGGTCTATCGGTTAGGGCGTTCGCGCACAATACCGAAGGTCCTGGGTTCGAATCCTGCGGGGTGCAGGAGTCGTGGATGCGCACTGCTGAGGAGTCCCATACCAGGACGAAACGGCCGTCCAGTGCTTCCAGGTTTCTAACGGTGGTCTAACATTGATCGATTCATGGTTTCAAAAATGTGTAACTTAGTTAATTCTTAATGTGTTTGAAATTGACAAGCATGTCTGTTGTGACTACGCGATGAATGTGATACTGTGTTAAAACTATTTCATTAAAGACGCTTGATCTTTCTTTTCCAACGGTAATTTGCACGTCGTTCGTACTTGTGTTTTACAGTACAGCGAGGATTGTTTTTAGAGTTTCTCAAAATCATCCGTATGGTATGGATTTAAGAATTTAGAAAACCGACTTTAAATTACAGAAATATGTTTTGAGATTCTTAAATTAAATTACCTGTTAATGTAACCCGTATTGTGGCTGACTAATAGGGGGGTAAATTTTCCTGGTATTTTCAAAGATATTTTGTTGAGATTTGTCTAATTTGTAAGCTATACTAGTTATGGATTGGTCTCATTTGAGTTACTATCAAAAATCAGTGAGCAATATATGACAATTTTATCCTAGGAGAGGACATCACAGATGTTGCCACCGACCCTCTGATTATCAGTAGTACAACAACCAAGATTAATTTCTGACAATTACAATCTACAAGTTGTATCAATCTGAATGACACCTCCATAATTCACTTCTAACAATCAAAAAACTAGTAGCTAACCATAAGATATACCTGAAGTTTTAGTTTAAAGTCGTGACTAGTGGAGTTAACAAAAGTCGAGAGTTAAACAGTTGTTCCCGATTAAAGTGAACGCCTGCTACAAGTGGTATTGGATGGTTGAAAGAATTTGATTCTGGTCTCATAGACAATCAATCATGGGTGTCTAGACCCGATGGGTTCGAACGTAAGAGAAGATAGCCGTCTAATTCTTATTTTCTTCTTAAGAATATTCATCAAAATTATTTACGTAGTATCATGATAAGATAATTCTTCTGAATAATTATCAAATTTTTCCTGGATTTTATATGTAAAGGGGATTGAATCTGTGAGTCACAGTTTCAACATTCAATCAAGATAGATTGAGTTATCTTTCATATAGCAAATAACATCAAGGATAAGAATTAAGGCCACAACTTGACCAATGAGTCTTTACTTTCGTGCATCATAACAAGGTAGAAATGAAAAATGATAACGAGGAGAGGTTTACTTCATCAAGTAAGCTTAGAAACAGATGTAAACAAAAAATTATTTAAAGTTATTAGGGTGTTTTGAATAGTCTGAGCGTTTATATTTCAAGCGTATTTTATTGTCAGCTTGGTTTTGCATCGATATTCAGCATGCATCTTAAGAATATTGACATTTTCAAATTCAAGGGGATATCAGTTGGTACCATGGAAATATCTTGGTTTTCGGTCAGGAGTATGATCGGTTCTGCATTGTAAAATGTTTTGATATATAAGAAAATACTGAGTCTATTGATTCATTTTTCTGAAAGTAAACATGATCAGAGTGCTTATGGATAAACAAAACGCTAGAAAGAGAAAGAGACAGGACTGTACGAACTGGGAACAGGTGTGCACTGTACAAAAAGCTGTTTTTTGAAATACAAATCAATAAAATACTAGTATTAAGTACAGTAATTTATATCTTGAATAATTAGTAAAACACACTGAGAATAAGATAGAACATGAAGAGATTGAAAGAGTGTGCTACAGAAGCAAGAAATCACTTGTGTGCATATTGAATGTTTGGTTGTACTCACACTGATGTTTACGTGTACTATTTTAACTTACTTTTACAATTCTCATAAACTTTTTGTTGTTCTCTTATTATGTCTGACTCCTTTTAGAGCATAGAACACTGCCTTACATGTCCGTGTTCAATTACAAATTCTTTCATTATAACTATACTTGTTCAAACGTGTTCATAGTGATGACCTCAACTAACAAGAAAAACAGACAAAATTCAAATTTAATGACTAGTAGAGAGTTTAAGATGAACTAAGAAACGAATTTAAGTTAGTTTAGAAAGTAATGACGAAAAACTAACAGTAGTAATAGTAAGAACACAGACCGGATTACAAATGAATTTTAGGTACTAAAATCCAACACAACAAAGGATACGAACACATAAATAAAATCGATAGTCTACTTAAAGCTTTTTAAAATGTTTATAGTTTGTGTTTACTGATAATTAGCATCGCAACTGATTAACCTTTATCGTAATATATGTTCACATTGATCAGATCGCCTCAATATTGACATTAAATTACAAGTGTTTAATATATTTGGTAATATTGTTGACAGGAGAACCCAGGATGCGGGTTTAGTTTTTTTGGCACTGCTTAGTTGAACGTTCAAGAATTTTAACTGAGACTTAAACTCAATGCGCTTAGCTTAAAACAACCAACGCGTTATCCACTGACCTACTGAGTCCAGAACTAATTTTATGTTTTTTTTTAAAAGGATTGTGATAATGCGGATTAGACGCTTGAGTCCAAACAACAATATTCCATTAGAACTTCAACAGTCAATAATTGGTTGTAAAAGAAAACAGATAGCAAGTTGTTTTTCATGTGTAATCTATTCAGAGCAAGGTAGCTAATGAACTTGGAAATATAATTTTTTGAGACATGGTTTTTTTTGAAGTTTTCAACAATACTACTATTACTACTACTATTATTACTTCTCTATTCACCTCTTAAAACAAATATATACTTCAAAATTTTACAGATACAGACAAATCGTTATACAGTATATATAACATGCAAGATGTTTGTAGATAGCGTGATCGATTTGGTGTTTTCATGAAATGTTAAAAATAATCCAGTCTTGAACTTATTGATAGTACAGATTTGATTTAAAAATTACCAAGTGTTTATGTGTATGCGTTTTTGTATGCGTTTGTTTATGGAATAATCACATTATGATAAAAATTAGTCCCAAATTGTACTGAATTCATGGGGTGGAATTTTTATGAATGGAGAATTACTGTACATACTAGAATGCGTATGTGTGTGTGTGTGTGCGTATGTGTCAGTACGCACAATTATATGGTATTAAAACAATTACTTGAAATATTCACAATGATTCCTAATCATTTGTTTATTTTTCATGTAATTGAAATTCTACATAGCTAATCAAAAGTAATCAATTATTCAACAGACAGTCAATTTTGGGTTTCATAGGTTAATAAACAGGGAATCTGTAATGAATTCATAGTTATCATTACCATAGGAGGTATGCAGAGATTGTTTAAAATTATATTATACCTTGAGCCGTTTTCAACTAAACAAACAATGGAAACTTAGGGGAGATCGTGCAACAACTATTTCGTTTCAGTGTAAAACTCTACAATAATGCTAACTATCAATCCTAACTCAGGATATTCATATCTTTAAATTCACTTTATTTGAGATATTTGTTGACAATTATCCATTGCAAAGTACGATACCTGTCTAACTCCGAATTTGATTGAATTGCCTACATTTAAGCTTCGTATTAGAACTTCAAGAATTCTACTCTAGTTTGGTGGCTAGCGTACATATAGTTTACGGAGATCGTTTCTTATGAAGTCATTTTACATCAGAAACCAACTTCGGCGAAAAAAAAACACAATGGGAACTATAGGAGGAAACACTTAACAACTGTTCCGTTAAAGCATGAGGCTCTTCATCAGTACTCCTTGAAATGATGTAAGCCTTTTATAGTGATCATATATATTAATGTCGTTACAATCGTCGGACAGAAATGAAGCGCTCAATATTTACCAGACAAGTTTGATATCTTTATCCGTGATAGCTTAACACTGGCTTAGAAGTAACACGTACATGAAAACTGGCATTAAATTGTCCTTAATTAAAGTGAAGTTCATTATTTAACCTCAACAGCTTCATCATAAATAAACCATCTTCAACTAACATAGTATAATTCAAACTAAATTCAACCGTTAAAAGTTAAATAAAACATGAGTTCAGTCCCAGGGTTGAGCCGTAACATGTATTATTCTCCTTTGTTATTGTTATTACTATTAATATTCGGAGTAGATATAAGACAATGTCAATAAAACAGTTTGCTAATTTGTTTAGTGTTTGTATGCGTGCGTGTAATTTTCCATTTTCACTAAATGTTTATCATTATTACTATTACTATTATTATTATTAATATTATTATTATTATTATTATTATTATTATTAAACTACTATGAATTTCTATCAAGGTAACTTGTGAAAGAATAACATGGATCTTCAATGAATAGAAAATGAACTTCCTTTTTAGATGAATATGGTTAAAATAATACAGTCAACAGCAACAACACCCACAACAAAACATATTTATTATATTAAGACACGTAACTGATAATTGTTATTCTCTTTTACTTAGCTCTGATTTATTAATTGCTTAGATCAATATCGTTATTGTTTAGTAATGAAATTTATCATTGTTGTTATTATTAGTGTTACATACGAAACAAAATCATAAAATCACATTCATGATCAAAGATTTAAAAAACACCGAAATAAATGTCATCAAATGATTTGCTAGCCATTGTTCAATATCATCTCTCTCTTTCTTTCTCGCTCCTTTACTTTTTTCGTTTTCTCTGTGTTGTATGCACCCAAAAGAAGAAGTCAACTCTCATAAATAAATGATTTATTAAACAAGCACATATCAACATAAACATAATCAATGATGTATATATATATATATATGTCCCAATGTCCAATGTTCAAGGTTGTTTAATTCTTCTTAACGTTTTTTTTATTTTGAAGTGCTGATTGACGAATAAAATCAAGTATTTGATAAGGTTGTTTTTTAAACTAATGTAGTTAAACTAAATGTCTAAATCTAGTTCAGAAAAAATGTATCATTACTGTTAGGATTATTCGTTTACACATGATAATATTCTAGTAGAAAATAACACAATAACTATTACTAATATCTGTCAAAAAAGTTTATGGAATAAGTGAGATAAACGATAAGTAAATAAATAAATATTGAGCAGCTACAATTGATTTAATGATATTCTGTTGATGTGATCTCGTCTACCGTAATGCGGAAAATTAGATTGAATGTCGAATTATATGTATATATTGACAGTGTATATGTTAACATAATTGAAAATCGCGATTGTAAGATACTTTAACGAATCTTTCATGAATTTCATCAATGAATGAAAACAAATTATGGTGTTTTATTATTTTTACCCAAAGATACAGTTTAAATGTCCAGCCTTTGAATCAGAGAATTAATAGTATGTATGTACTGGATGGTCGATTAAGCTGTCTTTTTCTGAGTATTAATTAATCGCAGATTCAATGGTTATTATTTAAACTACTTAAATGTTTGCAGTAATCTGTGTAGTTTGGATTTAGATTTTTGTAGCCAAACTGACATCCAATCATTAATGATGGATGGTTGCATAGTTATTTAGTTCTAGTTTAAAACTCTCCGCCCATGGATTCTTCGATTATCGCGTAGCCATTAAGTTTGAATCCAGTGGTGAAATTTTGAAATACTCAAATATCGTTTACTTTGATGATCTGTGGAGATTTATGTAGACAGATGTTATTCACATGTTCCAAGCACGAAAACATTCGGAAGCTGTCAAATGATCCTTTGTAATCGATAATTCAGTTGCTGTTAATGAAGCTAAAGATTTCTTATCTTTAATAGCCTAAATTATTAATACTGTATATTATTTTGCATTCTAGTTATTGTATGCAAACTGTTGTTATTATTTAATTATTATCACTGGGTGAAAGTGTAGACATTATGGTAACTTCTTGACGATACGAGAAATTTTGTGATTCAGTATTGTTATTAATATTATTATTATGTATTTCATACATACATGTGAAGAGGGTTTGTAAATAATCAAATAAAAACGATAGGCAACACTATCTAGTATGTCTGTCGGTAAGAGTTTCACAGAGTAATATGCACTTCGTTCTTAGTTATCACTTTTCATTCTAATCTATATTTCTCACGTTTCATTTTCCCGAAAATCTCCTCTTAAATGCTTCTAATGATGTTGACTACTTCTAATACTGTGCTGATATGACCTATGGTGAAAATGTGAACTCCTGATTAATTTTGATTTATCGATAAGTAAGTATCATGGCTGGATTACTACACTGTCTTAAGTCTGTTTCCAGTTTCTATGATACATCATTTCCAATTCTCTGACATATTTTATCGACTGTTTAGAAATGTTACTTGAAAGATGATATTGAATTCATTAAAAAGGAAGAACATATTTCACAATTAAGCATTGAACAACATTATTATATTACTGTAGAACATGTAAGATTTTTATGCAGTAGGCATATTTTTATTATACTGTCTAAATGAATTAGTAGTAAATAGTTTTAATTATTCTGATCATATATATATACAGTCCTTATTCCAGTTATTCCAGTATATGTTGTGCTTATATAATTATTGTTATTACTATTATTGTTATTATTACTTGGCTTTGATAATAGTGATAAAATCAGTTTTCAATTTGAACTGTGAAAATAATCACATGAATTTGAATACAGACAACAATAATGCAATACGTCATGGTTTACTAACCTAATGAACCCTATACATATTCTATTAACTATTGTCTGTGTTATTCTTTGTCAGGTGATTAACTTTGAATACGAAACGAATATTTATATTTTCGAGCAGAGTTTTGGAGGTTTTGTGTTTTTACACATTTGAAATCATCAATCAATCATTGTCAGACCACCATTATAAAACTGAAAGCACTGGACGTCCGTTTCATCCTGGTAAGGGAATCATCAGTAGTGCGCATCCACGACTCCTGCACATCACACGGTTCGAACCCGGGACCTTCAGTCTTGCGCACGAACGCCTAACCTCTGGACCATTGGGCCGGCATCTTATGGAGTTAATGTCTAACTCTGATTGATCTACGGATTTTGCGCGACCTCACCCATTTGTCTTCTGTAGTTACTGCCTACACCCTACAGGGTTGAACTCCATTAGTCACTACCAAAGACAAATGGGTGAGGTCGCGCAAAATCCGTAGATTAATCAGAGTTAGACATTAACACTGTTGGATGCAGGTCCAGTGATTCGATGGTTAGTCGTCTGCGCACAACACCAAAGGTCCGGGGTTCGAATCGTGTGATGTGCAGGAGTCGTGGATGCGCACTGCTGATGAGTCCCATACCAGGACGAAACAGCCGTCCAGTGCTTTCAAGTTCCTAATGGTAGTATAACAATGACTGATTGATGATTTCCGATATTTAAATATTATAAACTCGTTTAAATCATTGAAATACAAATTCAATGGAATGTTTTCCTTTGTATAATTAACTTCAATAATGAATCTATTTTTTCCTTTCATAAAACCTGACATTTTTCTAAAAATCTCTTTATTTTAGATCCGTATAGTTAAAGGAATCAGTGATGCTAATGAATATTAATAATTTCATGGGAACAGTTATACCAAAAACATCAACACCAACGAAAGAGTTAACTAGATCCGATTATACCGATGAATCAGCTGATCACAGTATGATTAAGTCAGATTTATTGAATTCTTTCTCAAACATTGGTCATAATAGTAACAGATCAATTTTAGAAGATAGTAAAACAGAAACTTCAGTCGAATGCTTGTCAAATGATGAATCTTATCATAAAACGAATAGTTCACCTATGAATTACGATAGTATGGAATGTTTACAAGGTTATACACTTGTTAACAATCGAGATCTAGAGTCAAATGAATTGAAAATGCGACTTCTAGCTACCCTAGCTGATATGATTCCACATGATGAAAGTTTAAGTTTACGTTTACTAATGAGTTATACAATTGATGATCAAGAAAGTGAATGTGTTGTTATTGATGAAACATTGTGCCGAGGAGGAAAGCGTAATGAAGTCAAGAATTCTAATTATCAAAATTCTTTAGGCCAATCAAAAAATGACAATGGAATTCACGAAATAAAACACAATGAAAAAAAACCCGACCTAAGCACAATATTTTCAACTATACAACAAAGCACTGTTAATGAAACTAATGCATTGGATTTGTCTGTGCATAATGAAACATTTGATTCTATGGACTATCAGTCAGATTCTTTAGGTACAACGTCAACAAAACAAGACCAAAAGTCACAAATGATTATTGATGGTATAATTAATGAAACAAAATCATTAACCAATACATGTTGTATACCATTGAGTTTATTATCCTCTAATCTGGTACAATCCAGTTTGAATGCTGCTACAAAAGTTTTAGATTCAGTGGTGAACACAACATCTACAAATAATTCAATTGGTCAAATTCCATTACTTGATACATCATCTATATTAGCCTTACTGCCCTTGTTACAACAGCAACAACAACAACAACAACAATATCAACAAGTACAACAAAATCAACAAAATACAAATAATTTAACATATCAAAATATCTTAAATCCAAATTCATTGTCACTTATTCCTGCCACTATTCCTACTTCAGTAACAACATTAAGTACAACAAAATCAAGTCCTATCACTTTTAATTATACAGGTATGTCGACAAATGCTAATTTGCTATTCAATCAATTATATCCGCCACAATTGCAACAAAGTATTCAACAAACGAATAACTTACTTACATCACATTTGAGTAGTATATTACCAAAACAAACAGAAACAACAACAACAACGACAACAGCATCAGCTTTAACATCAATTCCAAATACAATCACAAGCTCATTGACAAATAACATTGTTAATAATCAGTCACTTTTAAATACAGCATCTGTTATAGGATTTCCATTATACAATCCATTTTCAATTCATACTAATACTAGTACTAGTACTAGTAGTATCATCAATAACAACAGTAATAGTATTGATCAAATTAATGCATTCTTATCATCTACACCAATTCTAGGAACATCATCAACATCAACATCAACATCTACAGTTTCACAAGCATTACTAACACAACCACCATCAACGTTTTCATCCTCTTCATCGAATATTGCACCAATCAGTTTAGAATCGACCAATACCACGACTACATTATTCAATGTGAAAGATAAGCAAACAGGTTTGATTGAAACTGTGGGCATAATGCCAGGTATGAAAAATGTAAATCCACCAATTGCATCATTAATTAATCAATTAACTCTTAATGCTTCATCGAATAGTAATAATAATAATAATAACGTTAATAACATTTCACTTAAAACACTTTCTACATTATCACAATTGTTCAATAGTAATCTTCTTACTACAATATCTACTCATAATGCTACTACTAATAATAATTTTATTAGTAATAACATAACTTCTACAAATTTCAATATAGCTAATAATCTAACCATACCAACAGTAATAAATGCAAATACTACTACTACTAATAATAATAATCCTACTTCAATAGGCAATGGAACAGTCAATAATAATGAACTAATAACACTGGATAAAACACATACAAAATTATCTTCAAGTTCAAGTAAAGTATCGAATCGTTCTAGTCCATTATATTCATCGAATAATCATTCAACAGATAAAATTTCAAAATTAAATTCAGCCAAAAATCCCAAAATTGAAAATGTAAAATCATCAATACAACAAAATCAACAACTGAATACCACCACCACCACTAGTAATACGGCTACAACTAATAGTAATTTATTATTTGGCAGAAGATTAGTACTTAGTCGTCGTTTTATTTGTAATCAATGTCGTCGTAATTTTTCTTCATTAGCTGAATTAAATCGACATACAATTGAAGCGCATAATTCATTTCGTTGTACAATTTGTTCAGCACATTTTACACAAAGATCTAATCTACAAAGACATTCATTGAAACATGTTGGTTTTAAACCATTTACATGTAATCTATGCAAAAAAGAATATTATCGTAAAGATCATCTAGTTAGACATATTGAAGTAACACATCCAACTCATGATCCTAAATTGAATATTACTGTTCATTTAACATCATCCGAATGTTTAGATTATTTGGATAGATTACAAGCTGGAAAACAATCACAATCACCATTAATACATCATAATCAATTGGAGAATAAAGAATTAGGATCCGTTTTTACTTCAGATGTTACCACAAATATCACTGCTACTACTACTACTACTAATACTGCTACTGCTTCTACTACTACTACTAATAATCCTACTGCTACTACTACGAGTACTATTACTAGTGTAAGTATAAACAGTGGTACCAAAAATAGTACTACTGCTTCTGACACATGCAATAAGAATACTACTATTCACAAGGAAGATTTTGATTTGATGAATGAAGAGTCAATGAGAATTGAAGAGGCCAGATTAGAAACACCAGATATTGAAATGAACGGTGACAATGATATGAATAATAATAATAATACTGAGGAAGATATCGATGAACAATATTACAATATAACTGATTGCAATGAAAATAGTTAACTATAATTAATTGTTGATTTTGAAAAGAACTAATTCAAGTGACTTTTGAAAACCATCGAAAGCTACAAAACCACAAAGTATATATATATATATATATATATATATATATATATATATATACAAATATATATTATTCATTCTCGTTACGTAGTCGAAATCTGATAATGCACCGGTCTCTGTGTTATTACAATTTAAAAATTGCCCAATAACATTATCAAAATTCTTTTCCTATTCCTTTTTTTTTCTACTAAAATTGCATTTATGATTAACCTTTTTGTATTGTGTGTGTGTGTGTGAATTACATCGAAATCTGTCAGTTATCGCTGAAGTACATTAACTACCACAAATGCCATTTTTCATGTATTTATGTACGTTTTAGTACTTTTATACCTGAAACCTATATTGTTGTGTAGTTCTTCTTAATAATGCTCAGCTACATGCACAATGATGAAGTAAAAAAAAAAAGGAATAAATCTCAATCATGTCAGTTCCTGTGATTATATAATTCTTCCAATCTTTTTTTTTTTTTAATTTTATGATAAAGCCTTTTTGTATTTCATTTAATTGTATGACGAATATTTCATTTTTATACTTTTACCTTGTGTATTAAAGCCAATTTACATGAGAACGTATACTTTGTTCAGCATTCCATAGTATAAAAAATAAAAGAGTGATTTTGGATGATGGGATATTTGACAAAATAATCTAAATCAGAAGTGCGCAGTTTGTTTCTACCTTGTCTTTTCGATAAAAAAAACTTGCTTTTTTTCAAAATTATCCTTTTTACTTTTAATTAATTTATACTTTGTCTTTTTTTTTCTATATTTTATTGAAAATTAATTCTATCATTCCTAAATGTTATTGATAAAAACAAAAGCCTACTAATAGCACCGATATTAAGTATTGTTGTTTCTAATTCATATGATTTATGCTTAATAATCTCGTTTTGTGGAACGAAGGTAAATGAGTATTTTGTAATGAGAGGACCGACAGGATGTAAATCGATAGGGAAGTAGTTTTTTTGATAGTTATTAATGCGATTTTGAAGTGACAATCAGCTTGGGGAAGAAGAGGTGGTCGACACGAAACCCTAGACCTAGCAGTCAGTTACAACGTAGAACTCCGTACGTAAGTACATCAATTCAGGTTGCCATACCACATTAGCACAGAGACGTAACTGTCTGTTCAAATCCCATGGTGGTAGAAATAACTAGAGTATTAGCGGTGAAGAAGTTAAGGGATCGAAGATATTATTCAAAAAGTATAATTCAGTGAAATAGATTTGAGAAGAGAAATATAAAGGCGATGGGGAAGCCAGGAGACTAGAATTTTAGAGAACAAAAAGAGTGGACTCACCTGAGTGGTTGCAAACGATTCTGAGCCATGTCGTTCAAGGACTCTGACCATCGCTTCGCGGACCCCAACCAGGTAGCCTACGTCCACCAACATAACTCAGTCCACTTGTCAGTGATTTCATGGATTTATGCCATGTTTTGGCTTCGCTGCAAATAGCTTTCTCCCAACCTACTCCTACACCACAAATCAGAGCTCGTCGAGGCAGTCGGTGGTTGGACATTCGTAACACATGTCCCAACCACCTCAACTGATGGACTTTCAATACTTCATCTATTAATCTGCCACCTCTACCTAGTACTCGTTTCCTAACGACAGCACTGGTTACTTGCTTGTCCCAGGATATACAAGCAATGCTTCGAAGACATCTATAATCAAATACTAATAACCTACGAATGTCCTCTACTCTTAACGGCCATGCTTCGTATTCATGTAATAGGAGAGAACGAATTGCTGCGCTATAGACTCGTCCTTTTGTTAGTAAATGGATATCTCGCCTGCGCCATATGTGACGCAAGTTCGCAAAAGTCAGTCACCAGCACTGATGAGACTCCCGATATAAGTGAAGCGGTCTACACGCCCAACTACTTCACTCCCTATCACCAGTTCAGGTGCCGATGCAACCCAACCATCTTGAAGCAACATTTTGCTTTTCGAGGGTGAGAACCGCATCCCGAACATGCTTGCATTGTTGAATAGGGCAGTCGGAAGAATCTGCATTTTGGCAGTGTCTTCACCGAATAGAAACGTGTCATCAGCATATTCTAAGTCAGCAACCCTGTATCCTGGTAGGTCCACTCCTGAAAAGTCAGACGGAGATAAAGTTAACTCTAAACGCATGTCTGTGACAAAGTTAAACAGGAATGGAGAAAGGGGACAGCCCTGACGGACACCACTTGAAGTAAATAATTCTGATGACAGTTTACCATAGGTTCTCACTCAACCTGTAGTGTTCGAGTAGACCGCTTTTATGAGGTCCATGTACTTTATCTTTCAATGACAGACACTATCATAGAACCTCAGGAACGACAGAGTTAAGTGCTTGCCTAAAGTTCAAAGAATGCTACTATAGTGGAGTGACGAAATGTGTCCATGTAGCAGGACTTGATGTAGAGCGAACGACTGGTCCACACATCCATGTCCAGGGATGAAACAAGCTTGGACTGCTCGAGTCTGCTCTTCACGAGCCCCAGTTAGGCGTCTAAGTATAATCGAGGCTAACATTTTCGATACAATATTAGTTAGATAGTCTCAAGGGGACGTTTTTCCTTTCTTATAGACCGGGACAATCAGTGATTTGGTCCAGTCATATTGGGATTATGACCAGTTCCAAGATTCTAATTATGATCTCAGTCAGTCTAACTGTTAAAACTGGACGACCGTCTTTAAAGATTTCAGAGTCAAGCCTGACTCGCTTCAGACTTCCTATAGCTTTTTCAACTTCAATAATAATAATAAGACCATCGTTTTCCGAGATAGTTTCGCTGACAGATGGATTCCTAATACCGGTTTCCTTGATAAGCCTGAATGGTTGTTTACTGTTGCCTTTCCCATCTCTCTCGCTTTCGCTAACCACCACTGTTTACGATTGTTGAATAAGCTTCTTATCAGCCAGCGCTTAAGCTCACTCCAGTCCTCATCATGTTCGGAACCAGAGAGGATGAATTTCTGAGGATCCATCAGTTTGGCAGATGCTACTGATATCCGCTGTTTCTCCCTGACATTATGGTTTACTTACTGGTATATATCACCATTGTTTCTATGACATTTTGCTTACCATTCCAAGCTGCCACGGGATGGGAATCATTTAAAGGGCTGCCTAACTGTCTTTCTAATGGTTCCTGAAATATATTCTTAGCTATGCTATCATTAAGTAGAAATTTAAGAGGTTTCCTTGAAGTGTATTTTTTACGTCCAGTAAGCCTCAAACAAATACGCGCTTGCACTAGAGCATGATATTTGCTGAAGCTGAAAAACAGCCCAAATCGTCAATTTTTATTGTGATATTTCAAACGATCTCATACCAACCTTCATACTGAACAATACACAAATATGGCATTGATCGAACACTCCTTATTTTTATGTTACAAAATAAAATTGGTTGAAAATTTACTGAAATAAATAAAGATTACTAAGAGGTAGTATCTTTAATTCAAGCGAAAAATTTACTGCTCATTCATATGAATAATTACTTAAACAGTTACTGTAGCATTGTAGTTGTGGGTCGCCAAATGGACCTATCAAAAATACAATATACAACTGATTGGAAATCATGTAGAGTGAAAATGCGGATATATTATGTGAATGGAATGAGAATCTTTGCCGATCACTGAATGATCTATGTTGGCTAACTGATTATTGATGTTCATGTATGTAGTTGAACGTCAACAAAACTGAATTTTTTTAAAGTAAATCTTTGTAAGATTGTAAATATACTCAACTACAGATAGGTTTTACATTTTTTCACTGATCTCCATGAAGTGTGATAGTTACGCATGAACATTAATCAACTCCAGTCAATGCATTCGAAATTTGTGAAGGCAAAAAAAAACAGAATTAGTTTTGCAACTTCCGTGCTTTGTATGACATTCGAATCGTTGAATCGTTCAAGTATGTAATCCGAAACTACAGTTAGTTTCCTATCCACATAAATTGTGACAAAACACAGTTAAATCATTTAACTTCCTATCAAAACACATCGTATATATATACATATCATACGACTGTTAGACAAAATGGTCTGTCTATAGCAATAAATTTCAGTACAGAGCACCTACAATGTTGAATACTAATGACTTTAAGTCCCCTCCCCATGAAAAATATTTACTTTTTAATATTTGAGAAAAAAAAACACGAAAACATTTAAAGAAAGTATGTACCGATAAGAACAAAACACAATTATAGAGTCAGTTACAAACAAACAGTATATGTATGCATGTATATACATGTATATATATTCATATTTGATTAAAAAATATAAACCACAAGATAAATGCATACAACATTAATAAAGTTTCTGTGTTATAAACTAGTGTTTGCATATATAATATGAGAAAAAAGAGGAATGATATTGTTGCATACAAATATTGGAAACAAATAAACACACACATACACACATTCACACTGTTGATATGAAAAATAATCAATTTTCAAGTCGATTCGGATCAAGATGTGTTGAAGATTGCTTGTCACGACCAAGAACTTTACTTAGTTGTTTTAGTATTTTCGGTTGACTCTGGAAAACAATTATTTAAAGAACAGATAAATAAAGATCATAAGAAAATCATATAATACTAAATAGGAATATGACAATTAAGTGAACACATGTGGAAGATTTATTAGGAACCTGGCACGCGTACAAGTTGCTACACTGATAAATTGAATGAAAAGGTATGAAATAAAAAACGAACGTGTCTACACCAATAGAACTGATTTTTAGCCATGAAAATTAACGCTTTCCTAATCAGTGAAAATACGGCTATTTTATAAAGATAGTCTGAGCTCCCTTACTTACTTACTTACGCCTGTTACCCCTAATGGAGCAGAGACCGCCCACCAGTTTTCTCCAACCAACTCTGTCCTGAGCTCCCTTAGTATGACTCAAACCAACAGTCTATGTCTTCATGAACTGAAATTATATTTCAGCTTGACAACTACTAGTTCACTCCTAAACTAATCCAGCACTAAGTGTCAAAATAGGAGGTGGGCTAGACAAATGTCAAAATGTTGAATACATATTCCTCTATTAAAGTTTTTCTGATTGTTATATACTTCAGAAAAATAATATTTCTAAGTAAAGGATAATTTGAGACAAAAAATAAAATGCAATAATGCATAGTGAATATAATAAAATCTGACAAGTTAGCATCCACTATTAAATGAGATAAGTAGACATTCTCAAATATTCAGATTGTCTATGACTATAAATTAGCTTAATGGTTATAAGTATAACAACCTATAGAATTAGATATGAAGAATTCCCATATAAATCAATGTCTTTTTAAAGAAAACAAAAAAAACCTGAAAACTTACACGATGCTTCAAAACTGACGGCATCTGTGAACATGAAATAAAACAATGTGTGAAAACTGTTTTAAGTAGGAGCATAAAATGAAATCAAAGATTCACAAGAAATTCTTTAAAAATTTATGATGAAACAAGGAGAGCAATTAAATTCTACGAAATAAGAAAAGGATGAATACATTTCTTCGATTAGAAAAAAATATCCATACCGATTTATCACAATAAACAAATCAATATATATATATATATATACGCTTTATAATGATCATTGAGGAAAAGCTATCATAACTAGTAATTTAATTGAGTGATAAAACACTGAGTGTAGAAAAAATAAATCCACATTACTCTGATTTTAGAAAAAAAATAATTCAAAGGTTACACTAAAACAACCTCCATAACTAATTGTACAATGACGTAATAGAAACTAGTGGAAATCATAAGAAATAAGCAAAAAGTTGAAAAATTTTGAAATAGCCACAGCGTAATGAAATATATCAAAGTTTATTCTTTGAGAAACAATAGCAGTTAGTGATAAATCCGATTGAAGAATGGATTACTATTATTTTTAGGTAAATTAAGATGATAAAAATAAATTTAAGTTGTAATATCAATAGTTTAATAACAGCTTTGATTTAATCTCTTTTCTATTAGCTCATAAAGTCGAATATTTAAATTTTGACCTATTCACAGTAATGCTGGTAGCCACACATAGTAATTATTTGTATAGTTTACACATTAAGCATATAAATGCTTAGTGTAATTAACAGCCTTCAATGTTAATTAATCAATAACATCGAACAATCATGATCATATAAACCTTTTACAAAGAGCAGCATTGCAGTTTACTCTGAATATATTTCATAATTTTCTAAAATATTTTGAATATTAGAATTTAGTTAAGGTTATATCATGAAGTGATTGGATCAATTCACAATGATAGTGTTTCTGTCAGCTGATTTTTCTTCCAAAGATGAAAACAGAAATATCTCTAAACATTACTCTCTAGTTTGTCAGTCAATACAAATAAATTTTATTTACACTGTATTTAAAAAATTGGTGATTTTAACAACTTGTGGTGGTGTTTCGTTGTCTGAGCTGGATGTTTTGGTTTTGGAGCTGTCATTGTTCTTCTGAACAACATCATCAGCACAAACTTTAGATAGGAGTGAAGTATTCGAATTTATCAACGTTTGACTCGAATACTTCACTTCTATCTGAAGTTTGTGCTGATGATGTTGTTCAGAAGAAAAATGAAAGCTTCAAAACCAAAACATCCAGCTCAGACAACGAAACGCCACCACAGTCATTCAACTGAGCTACAAATTTTCTCCACCATTTCAGATTCTACAGTTTTTCATTACTTACAAAATATAAATTTAATTATCAATATAACTTAGGGTATATATTAAGATAATTCTACACTTGTATAAATTGTTTTTTTCACTTTGACAAAAACAAACATGTAAAATGATCAGAAGCGATAAAATATGATCCATTGACTTAAAACATTTTAAGTTACATGAAACTACACTTCAATATTCGATAACTATAAAACAACTACCATAAAATATGAATTGTATTGAAATAGAATATTGGCAAAATTCTAACTATGTCAAACAGGATGAGATGTTATAATTTAAAGAATTTAGTTATACAACACATTAGAATTGAATTCTGACAATTATTTCACATCATAATATAAAGAATATGAAAAAGTATATGAGCTGGAGTGAAATAAAAATTTCCTAGTGAATTTTGTTGGAAAAAATTAAGTTCCAAAACTTACTTTAGTAAATCCCGACTTTTCATTATCATCTGCCCAACCCACATGAACCTTTGATCGATTTCTGTGCCATGAATGTTCACGGACAAATTTTATTGGGCCAGCTGGAGCAGAACTGGCTGTACTTGGAGCGGAAGATGTACTACCAGTATTTGACACACTATCACTTGCTCTAGGTGGACGACCGTGTGGAACGGCAAAAGTTGAAGGAGCAGGAAACGGAAGTCCATCGTCAAAATCAGCATCATCCGCAGAATAAATATCATATCCCAATGGGTCATAATCTTCCATATAACAATCGTCACCTGTAGACGTTGTGTAATAAGGTGCATCTACAGAATAATCTACTTTAACAGGCATAGTAGAATGCTTTTTGAAGTTGAGACGCGTTTTGCTCATCATCTTTTGTATACGGCTGGGTTGTCTTGTGAACTCGTTAGATGATAAATATTTGACATTCTCATGATTAGACCTGCATTTAGAACATATAATATTGAAAAATTAATCTTACTGTAGACTGAGAGAAAACGAAAACAACTGAAACTCTTATAATATAATAAAAAACCTGAGCAAAAAACTATAGTCAAACCTACTCAGGTTTCACTTCACGTTTACGATGTTTATTGAAAAAAGCAGAAGCAGCTGAAATTAATGGAGCACCTGGTCGACGACCTTTAGAACTTGGGAATTTACTAGCCCGTCGTTTTCCACCTTCAGAATTTTGATAATCTGAACCACTGTCAGCGGAACAATTACGATTAGTGTTATTGAATTCTGGAGGTAGCAGGTTACGCATGTGGTTGATCAACTTTCCTTGTTGTTCTGTGATAGTAGAAAGACGGTGAACTTCACGTTCAAGAGCTTGTTGTGTCGCTTCACCAAGTTCTTTGGCTCGCACTGTCGCCATTTCTGATTCCCGAGCCTCTTGACGAGCAGCATCACGTTGACTGAGAAGCTGTGTATTGTTCAGACGCAATCGTTCAACTTGAGTTCGAAGTTGATCTATCTGAAATATAAAATTAACGAAACTCAAATGAACGTTTTGTCTTGACGAAACAAAAAATTCAACAACGAAAGTAAGAATAAGCCTACCTCATCTTTGAGTGTCTGTTTCTCATCAGTGAGAGTAACTATTTGATTGTGAGCTTCTGATAAATTTTCTGCAGTCTGTACAATATGAAAATTGATATATGCAAGTAATTAATAACAACATTAAATATAAACTTAAACTGTTAAACACTCATAGTACACAATTCGTAAACAAAAAAACAACATAAAATAGTTCTCAGTTAGAGTTTTGGAGATTGGTGTTTTTACACATTTGAAATCATCAATCAATCATTGTTAGACTACCACCAGAAACCTGGAAGCACTGGACAGTCGTTTTGTCCTGGTATGGGACTCATCAGCAGTGCGAATCCACGACTCCTGCGTACGTCGCAGGATTTGAGCGCGGGACTTTCGGTATTGTGCGCGAACGCCTAACCATCGGACCACTGGGTTGGCATCCAACGGTGTTAATAGTTCACAAGAATAATTTTGTGAAAATTGACTTATGAATGAAATCAAAGTGTATTGTTAAATCACTAAGAATTCAGTTGCGGTACCATAGAGAAAAATAACAGTTAGATCAAAACTCGTAGATTAAATCATTACTACACTGATAAAAAGACATGGCGTTATACAAAACTAAATAGATGACCTGATAGCAAGAATTAACAACAAGACTCACATGACATAGAGTAATAGAAGCTTGTAACTGATCATGTCGCGTTCGTAAAAGTGATACTTCTTGTTTCAAATCAGAAATCTCACGCTCATAGTTGGCTGCACGCTCACTGAAAATAGACAATAACTGAGTTAGAATGAACAGAATTGAGGCAATACAACCAATAAACACAAATAGTTTAACTGTTTACTAAAATATAATATCAGTAGTCAGAACATACGAGAAAAAATAAACCACAGGCAAAACACAAAAAATTCAATTCATGTAAACATAAAAAATTACATTCGAAAGTGAATGAACCAAGGTTTAGAACTATTAAAAAATGAGAGTTGACCAGACTACATAATTTTAACTGATGATAATTTAAGCGAAGTGTTGCATTTTAGGAATTTTCATCAAACTTCGGAAGCTTATAACTATAACACATATAACAACGTAATAATACACCGATATCAGAAACGCACAAATAGTACTGAGTTAAAACATCAAACTCATTGTCAAAAAAAGGTTTTCTGGTTACCAAAAATTCGTCGTCTTATTTTTAAATCCAATATACAGCTAGAGGGAAAATTAAAAAACAAACTAGGTAGTCGTGAACTGTAGACACGAACTGGGTTTTAAAACTATTAAAGGTTTAATGAATTCCAAACATACAATACATACGAGATTTCATGAAACCGTGCTTTCGATATTATATTTACGAAAATTGTGCTTAAGCATATTTTCAAAAATCAAATAGCATACAAAGACAATATTTACCGTAACAACTCTTCATTTTGTTTATGATGAATCAATTCAGTCTGAGCAGTTCTCAATTGAGATCTTGTTGATTCAAATTCATTTCTCATTTGATCAAGAATAAGCTGTTTAGCAAAAACAATAGAAAACAAAATAAAGTTGTTAAAATCATACGTAAATTTGAGATAGCAATAAAAAGTGTGCTAGATTAGAAATAGTTTTTTTTAAAAAAAATACAGTTGAATAATGAAAGAAAAATTTACCGTTTGATTTTGTGTAGTATTTAATCTTTCCAATCGAAGTGTTGCTTCACGAAGAGAAATCTCAGCAGATTCTTTTTTCATGATTGCATCATTTAACTGCAGTTGCATATCTGACAAGCGCTGAAATAGTTTAGGGGGAAAAACAACAAAAAATATTGAGCACACAGAAGAATGATCCCCTATAAAAAAATTCAACACAACTAACCGCATCAAAATGACACACAGAAATTCGAAAACCATTTATTTTTTTCATGTATGTGACATAGTATATGAGACAAGGTTAATTTTTCATCCATAAAAGTAGATTATCAGTTAAGTGATACAAAATGTCATCAGCCACGTCAATTCATGTCAGTTTGGGAGATTTATGGGTAGACGTCAGTTGTACAGTCAAACAACCGTCTAAAAAATACCTCTACCAATGCACATAAAAAAACAAAGATCTTGTGAACAATCAGTCGTCAAAGAATGACTTCGTAATTGTGGAAAAATCTTGATAAGCTCACTTCTAGTTGAAGCTAGTACTTAGGATGTTATTTCAAATGGCAATAAAAAGTTTCACAATGAATGAGGTTTGCATGCAAAAAAAGGTTGCACTGCACAAAAAATTTAACTGACCTGAGAATCAATTGCTGAAAGTGAGACTAGACGACCACGTTCAGTAAGCATAACTGCAATTTGATCACGTAGACTTTTCAATTGTGCTTCTGCTTTATCTGCTCGTTCTTCTAATTGACGACGTTCAGATTGTTTAGCATTGAACAATTGCTCTTTCTCCTTACAGATATAAAATTAAAGATATTAGTAAGTAATCACAAATTACTGAAGAAATTATATGAAATCGACAGAATTAATATATATAAATACATCCAGTATGATTAAAACTATAATAATCAGGTTACAGAAATTAAAATTCGCGTAAACAGGTAATGATCTTATAATTGGACGAAAATAACATCACACATAATAATTAATTATAACACTCTTTTTCTAATTGATTGCTCGATTATTTCAAAAGCTTTGATCTTGAGTTTTTCAAGTCGAAGATATGCACATAGATTTTCAATGTATAAATGTTTACCATAATCGTTTAATTTGTGGGGGGCATAGTGAACAAAGTACAGTTAACGAATTTAAACAAAACAAATTTAAACAAAAATTGACATGTAGAAAGCTATTTTGTCGACTTACAAATGAAATCGTTAGGTATCTTATATGGATTATAAAGCTAATTTCATTGAGTTCTTACTCATTCTTAATAAGATATACACATGATCCTAACTAGTTATGAATATATCATTAACTAAATATACATTATATAATTTAACAAAAAATAATAACTTGATTGTAGAATACTTACCGTTCTTACATTCTCTAATTGCTTTCTCAATTCACTCAATTCTGATCCATTTTGTTGTGTTGCAGCTTGTAAGGCATCTCTTAAAGCTGCAAGTTCTCGTTCAACTTCCTTATTACGTTCGACCAATAAATTAAGTTGACCTCTGATATACAAATAAGACAAGTCACAATCAATTGTATAAGTAAGAATGAGATAAAAAATAACCTCAGCTATACTATAGGTCTAAAGAAAGTCATCAAAAAGTTATCACTTGGATTCTCTTTTTTTCACAATCTACTACAACTTGATATTGACTAACAAGATGAATTCTCTTGTTTAGAAAAAAACTTAGTCATCAATTTTTTAATATATTAAGTGAAACATTAAAGGAAGGAAAAAATAGATGACGGGAGTGTGAGTAAAATGAATTAGACAAGTTCACGCCTTAAATAAGAATTTTAAACATAATGGATATTAACAATAAATTATAACAATTCTCAATTTCAAATAGGGAAAAAAAGGGCCAAAAACAATTCACACAAATATATCCAATAAACACATTTAGACATAACTTCAACGTTCACCAAATACGGTGATTTAGTAATAAAGCACTTGAAGTATTGAACCAGTAATCAATTGTATCCTTAAAGGTTCGTAGCTAACTTGAAATCATTTCTATTGTTTTAATGAATATGAAGAACTAGTAAAATTCACAACAAAACATATGAACAACACAACAAGTAAATAAGTATTCTACTGAGTTCACATAGGAATATATCATTTACGAACAAATTAGTTGGTTCCCAGATAGTTTTTGATAGTAAAAAAAAGGTATATTTTAATAAGGAAAAAGTAGACTCAAAACGATAGAGGAACTTACGATTGTGTTTGTAATTCAGATGAATTGTTTTGTTGCTTTTGCACTGATTTAAACGTTAATTGTTCAAGCTTCTCTGTAATTTCTTTGTTTTTCTAAAGTAATTAAGTAAAACCAAAAAAAATCAATTGATTGTACGGTATACATACGTGCATTTTGATCAGTAACAATAACAGATATAACTGCTACTACTATGAGATTTGAAGTGACGATTGCATCTCTGTGCTTATGTGGTATGGCAACTTGAACTGATTTACGTACGTAAGTACGAAGTTCTATGTTCTTGTTGACTGATTGAATAAGAATTCAAATCACTGACATATGAAAGTTGATAAAGTTTCGAGTAAAGCTATTTATGAAGTAAAATGTCAGTTAGTCAGTCAGTCACAAGCAACGTAGAACCTGGCACTGGTCCACGTTTTTATATCAGATTAGTACAGTGCAATGAAATTATCAAGACAAATACCAGAGTGGTAAAGTAGTAACAGAAAAGATTCGACATGAACAACATGATTCGACTAGAAAATTAGATTTCAGGAATGAAAAGTATAAGATAATTTTGAAACTCAAGATCTAAAGGAAGACAAAAATTGAAAGCATTTTCGTTAATCCGAACGATTCTAAGCAGAATCACTCAATATCTTCAAACATTTGTTACGATGTCTGCGCGAACTATAACCAGAAAGTCTGGTTCTATCAAAATGATTCAGTCCAAGAAGTCAATGACTTAATGAAAAGATGCCTATCGTGGTTTGGCTGTTCCTATATTTATTTTAAATTACTCCTACACTGAAAACAAAAAACAATGAATAATACTAGTTGTTTTTCAGTTAGTTCAATTAAACAGAAATTCATCTAAATACTTTAAGATTAAGTTTAAGTTGAAGCATTCGAAGCCAGTAGTAACGATTATACGATAATTCATTACGTAACAGAAATTGCAGATAATCACACACTTGCTTATCGTTCATAAAAATGGTAATAAATGCAAATATTGGCTTGGTTTTAGAAGTTTTACACTGACTACGACCCAAAGACATTAAATAATCATCGGATGAAAACTCTCAATCCAGATAATAATATTACCTAGGTAACTTGTCAACATTTGTTATTGTGCAAAAAGTCTAGATTGATATGGTCACATGTAGGTAAGTAAAATTAACTCTATTCAACTGTGACATAATGTTGGCACAAAAGGCTTCATATTACATTTTCACAAAACTTGGAATAAAGTGAATGAAAGTAAATTCAATTACAGATACGAAAGTAATCGTGATTTGCATAAAATTAGTTAATTAGCGATGACAAACCTTTTCTTCCTCTTTTAATCTCTCTCGTGCTGAAAAGTATTTATCTTCAAACTGTAAGAACTTCTGGTGTAGATCACGTTGATAATCTTTCGAATCCTCAAGTTTTTGTTTTAAATCCTGAAGAAATGCAAATCAAGATAAAGCGGTTAACTATAAAAATCCTTATATGAATTGAGCACATCTATAAAAGTAAGTTTTACATCATACGACAAATGATAATATTCTGACAGTCATTCAGATTATATTCACATAGGAAAGATGAAAACGTTGAGTAACGTAACTAGGCCCATACATGTTTGATGTACTAGGCTTATGAACTGCATCAATATACAAATTTTATCCAAATCTCTTTATGTGGAACGGTTTTTCAACGTGCTATTCACAGATTTAATGGATATTTGAACAAACCAAATACTAACATACTTGTAGAAAAAAAAACATTACGATCAATAGACAAAAATCGTATTAATTTGAAAAATAAATCGTTTCAGTACAGTTAACATAACTTCACATTCTATAGCGAGTACTTATTACCGGCTGATAAAAGTAATTCAAAATAATTAAAGCACTAAGAAACTGTCAGTAAATTCCACGAGATAGTAGATATCTTAACACTCTGGGTTAACAACTCGACAAACACAGAAATGAACTGACGAAAATCAAGTTGACTATTATTATTTTAAATCATTAGATGTATCATGTAAACTCGCAGATAATACAACAAAAGAGATAATTGTTGTGTATAGAAAAATTATTCATGCATAAATCTAAGCAAAACTCTCTTCTTGTATAAAATTAGGTTTTTGACTATACTGTTAATAAACAAAATTTGAATATAACAGACTGAGAATGATGATATTGGCATCTACAAAACAGATACTCAATATTTTGCTTCTAATGACTACATTGATTGACGGATAACTGATACACCAAACTATTACCAAGTACATTATCAACGCTTATATATATAACCCTTTCTGTCAATAAACAAATATTATTAAATGGTTAAAAGGTAAATAACAGAGAAAAAAAACTAACTTTAATTTCCCAATTAAGATTGTTTTCGGTTTCACGATAACGACGTTGATCAGCAATTAATCCATCTATGGTTTCCACTAATTGATTGACTTGCTGTTTTGATTCATCTAGAGCTTTTTTCAATTCAGTATTAGTCGATTCTAATGCAAAACATGATTGTCTTGCACGATTCGAAGCGTGTTTAAATTGTTTAAGAGCGAAATTAATGAGACGATGAACTAATTCATAGCCAATAAGATTATCAGATGAATTAGATGTATGTGTAGTTGAAAGTGAAATATCACTGAGCATTTCAGGTGTTGTATAAACTGTAGGTGGACATAAGGCAGTTAACAAATCAAGTAAGTCTGCTTCTGTGAAATTACTTGGTAAATTTGAAAGACGGGACTGAGATCAAAAAGTAAAACAAGATGACAAAGTGCTGAATTAGGATAAGCTTCTGACGATGTGAAAGAACTGAATATAAAGCAATTATAACATTTATGGACCTACACCTTAAAAATATCCTGTTGAGATTGTGTAGAGAGCAAAAGCTGTGCAAAAATTAGAATACCTTATTTCTGTCTGAAGTTTTTGCTGATGATGTCATTCAGAAGAAAACAATAAAAGCTTCACGATTAAACCGACCATCTCATAAAACTAATCTCTACTAAAAATATTATGTTTTAAAACAACTTATTTATGTATCCAAAATAACAGTACTGAGTAGATCTATATGTTATCACTACACCAAATAACATAAATTCAGGTATGTTAAACTAATTATCGGACAAAAAGCTTGTAGAATTAAGTACATCAAAACTTATTACTTCTTCAATTAACAAACAAATAACTAGTGTTTACACAGTAATAATTCACATAAATATAGTAGAACTAAATGAACTTTCACTTGGACGCAGTTGGAACAAAAAGGAAGATTAATTATTTAGTATAATTCACCTGAAACTTTTTGTTAGATGGAAAGTTAATGAAGCATAATCTGGGAAAAGTGAGTTTTGTCTGCGAGAAAATAATAAAATAGGATCTCTTCTCTATATAAAGTATTGGTCGTTTTGAGTAGGCACTTTTGTTGTATGTATAATCTCTATCCATTTAGCAATCTGAATTCGAAACTCAAACTACCTTTTGATTTGGTTGCAAGTAAAACTCTACAATCCCTATAAAAAGACTGAGTATAAATATGGTAGGGTATTAAGCATTGTTGAAGCAGTAATCAATTACATTCAGATTGATAAATTGAAACCGCATACTTCCTGATTTGGAAATGAAGGCTAAGAAATTATGTATGTCAATAACATTACACTATGATGCACTTAATTTCATGTGCTTAGAGTTTGATATTAATATTTAGAGCTGTAACTGACTGGTGTCTTTTGGCATAAGTAAATTCTGTCCGGATTGCTTTGATATTGCCATTAGGTCACAAGTATTATCAACATAGATGGATGGTGGCTAGCATTAGAATCCAGAATGCGCGTTTCATATAATTTGGGACTCGTCATTTACATGTGTCAGCCTTTCAGAGTTGATGTTCACTTAGGCACTCGAATGACTACTCTATCAAGACAATCTGCACAAGATGCATATATGCCATCTCTACTTGGAAGTTTAATTCAATGTCTCAAAGAAATATTAAAACAACAAAAAATGAAATACATTATATTGCAATGAAAATCATACTAAGATTATATAACTAAAAGATAGCATACCACAGCGTGTTGTAATTGATCCACTATAGCTTGTGCTTGTTGATAATTCTGTACTGAAGTGGTCAAACGAACATTTTCTTCCTGAAGATGTCTTATTCGAGAATTCAAATGCCCAACAGTAGATCTATTGCAAACAAAAAAAGAAATAATATATATTATGAGAGTGTAAGATAGGTAGCAATCGCCAAGGAACTACTTGAGAGCTGGAACAACTAGAACACTAATTTATACCTTAGAGACAACGGCAATTAAACGATATCTTACAGGAATCCACTTCATTAAAAATTCAACATGGAAAAACTCTAATCACATTTAAGTAAAGACTAGCTTACTTTTCTTTTTCAACAACTGTATCAGAAAGAACGCGTACAGCTTCATTAATTTCTTTCAGGACATGACCATTGTCGAATGCATTCATTAATCTTTGACGTAAATCCTATACACAACATAAATAAATAATATGAATTGCACAACTGGATTGCCATACAGACATACACATGAGAGATACAACAAACAGAAAAAGACCAAGAAAGTACTATTATGATTAACATTTAAGGGAGCAGTTTTTTAGTGAAATTTAAAGGTGGTATTACGAAAAGACTAATTGACCAACGAAATAATAAAACCGTAAAGTTATTTATTTAATTGTTTAAACATATATTAGTACAAAACGGCATCTAAATACTTAGGCGCTATACAAATCAATGAATTCGTACACGGGATAGGATACTGACCAAGTGTCCAAACGGAAGCAGGTAGTTTTCTTAGGAGGGCACTGCCACAGCCTTCAACTTACAGGTCTAGTCCACAAGACAGTGGAGCAACGTTAGGAGATGCAAATCCATGGTAGCCAACAGCTAAGAACAGGTTCATACGTCATCCGTTCCGTTAGGATCTTGGAGGTTATGTGCACCATTGGTTTGGCATCAGGGTATTTCAACTCCCCTAGGTGAATCATTCGTATCCGCTAACCCAAGTTAAGCGCCAGACATTCATTTTTTTGTCATCTTAATTACGTGAAAAACGCCCCCGTTACGAGAAGGCAGTGAATAAGACTTTCCTGACATCGGCTATACACACGTGGCCATGTGGGAGCATTTTCAAGAATATATGAATGACGATGCCAACAACTTATTTTAAATAAACATCAAATATAGATAGACTTAGTACTGGTCTTTTAACGAAACTAAACAACAGTTCAAAAATATAACTCCGTTGTGACAAGAGAACCGTACAAGGATAAGTTAAGAATGAATAAACTATGCTTTTAATTGTGCTAAGATTATAAGTATGCACAAAAATGCTGACGTTTAGTGCTGACATTTAAATGCTCAGAAGTATCCATCGGAGATGTAATTGACAGAGCCAGATATCACTCTCAAAATTAACTAGACAAATACACTGTTTTAGCACGAACAAGGCAGACAGAGATGAAACAATTACATTCTGAAAGTAAAATATCAGTAATTACTTTGAAAGGATGTGAATGACACAAGCAAATCTAAGATATGCATATTGCAAAAACGCGACGTGAGTTTTGTTGATGATTGACAAATGAGTAGAAAATAAAATGATAATCAGACTTCAGAAAGATTATACACTAAAAATTGTACAAATTGGTATACCTCAGACTCTTTATTCTGTAGTTTAAGTTGTTCAATTTGTTCAGATAACTGTCGATTACGTTGTTGAAGTTCAGATAAACTGATAATTTCAGAATCATTCATTTTTTTAGCATCATTAAGTTGTCCAACTTCCAAAGAACCAATACTATTTTTAACTGATGCAGATAATGAGTTTTGGCGTTCACTAAATGTTCGCCTATGAGGTGTGCTAAATAATGATTGAAGTAGGAAAAAATAAATAACTTCTACTCAAAAATAAAACGATACAATTTATACAAATTAATGAAAATATCAACGGTAAAAATAATAATGAAGAACACCACATGTTGCAGTTCGTTAATTGATTGTAACTTTTTTCCAATATTAATTATTGACTTTATATCTCTATTAAGAAGAAATGGTAAGTTACAATACAGAGAATAGTCTGAATAAAAACGTTGATTAGTTTGAAAATGGTGGTAGTATTATTACCTTTTACTGAAAAGGTGTGATAAGTTGTTTAATTGTATTATTCATATTGACTGAATTACACAAAAATTTCAGATCATATTCTAGTATTATCATCACAAAGTACCTAACTAATTGATATAATTAAAAATTATTAATATCGAAATTATTTTACGGATAAAGAGTTGGTAGTCAACAGATGCAAACGACAAGAAACACAACTGACTGTAAAACAAAAGGACAAAAAACAATCAAATATGTACATTCAGAATAGTTGCTATTCCAATATACTATAACATTATGGGGGTAAACGAAAAAGACAGAAAACAATAAGTGAAATCTGTACTTGATAAATTAGCCACATTACATGATTAATTAAAATTGTATTATTTCTATCAATTTTAATGTAAAGCAATGGATGAACAAATATGCATAACATACTGAAAAATACATTAAGACTCCAGTTAAAGGCTAAATAACCACTCAACCAAGGATTTAAAATCAATCGGACTGTTTAACGAGAATTCTACAATTCGGAAACATAAGCAACATACAAAAAACAGACTGCTTGCAACCAAGCAGAAGTAAACAGACAGTTGATAAGAATTGCTGTATTATTAGCAATACTTAAAAATCACCGAAAAATATGTTAGTTCGTGAAAAGCGAGAGACCTTAGGATATTAAAAGTTTGAGAGAAGAAACAAATAATTAAGTTGATAAAGAGCGTACAGTATTTCCAAAGAAATAAAATTCGCTATTTAGTGATAACTTAATTGTCTTGAAAGAAATAGAATTGGACTGTATTTTTACTGAAAGTAATTGTAATTATCAGTTTGTATATTTCAGTGATTGGAACAGTGATCGATCACGAAAAAAGTTAATTATATATATATATATATATATATATATATATATATATATATATATATATATATATATATATATATATATTGGATTAGCTTAAGTAGATATCAAACACAAGAGTACACAACACAGAAGATAAAAGATTATAACAATTATTACAAAATATAGGAAACACTTCTAATAGACCAGCATTACTGAAAAATAAAATATTAACAGAAAGGTTCTAACCCAAGTATTTGAAATATGATAATAAGTTTACCTGATATTAGCTATTACTGACGTTCCAACATGAGCAACGGCAGCTGACTGAAACTGTTTCTTGGAAAGGTTTCCAAATAATACTAATCCAGGTGTATATGTATATCCTAAGAATGGTAAGTCTCGGACACATTCAGAACCTTCCCATTCTATATCTTCTATTTCTTCAATCTCTTCATTTATTGGTACAGCAGCTGCCTCTTGAATTGCTTTTCTTTTTATTAATTCGGAAGACAATGGTGATTTCTGTGGATTAATATTTTCTTGATTTTCATCATTCAAAATTTCAGTATCTAAAGGTTTCACTAACACAGTTTCATCTCCTTCGTTTAAAGTAGCGCACTGGGTGACATATCCATCTTGAACAGATGACTTTGTACAACGCATTGGGGAGAAAGTTTGGTTTTTAGAAACATCCAACATAACTTCATCACGAGCACGAGAGCCACCACCAGAAAAATTTGAAACATCATCTAACTCACCAACTGGCGGTAAGTATGGAGGAGTGACTACACAAAACGAGGTTAAAGGAATTACAAATGATGAATACTCTGGATATAAGCATACAATTAAAATGCACATTTAAGAATCATTTAAGAGTCATACTGTTGTCCAAAGAAGGCCGCGACACTCATTAATCTTTAGTGACATTTTGTTGTAACGACTTTAAATCCTGTATATTGGATACGAGTAATACAGTGGATCGAAACTTATCAACAAAAACAATGAAGGATAAGTGGTTGGAAGAAATAGACTTCACATGCAGTTTGAGAGAACTAGCAGTAACCTGTCACGAACAGTACAGGAAGATATATAAATGACTAATAATGACAGATGAACTTTACAACTTATTGAAACCAAAAGACCTAAAGGAATTAGTCATTAGGTGTACAAATGTTTGAGAGTGCACTGAAAGCATGAGTACTGGAAAGGATGTTTGAAATGTTATCACTAACAACTTTACCTCAAAGTATACCTCGATTAAAATGTGTAGTTTATTCAAAACAAGTATTCACATACCTGTTTCAAAACATCAATCACTAGTTTTCAATATTTTTAAAAAAAGAAATAACTAACAAAATTACTAACCTTGTCTCAATGCAGAGAAGTCAATATCTTTGAAGAATGGATGCACAACAACATCTTCATAGCTTAACCGTTTCGATGGACTAATAATCAATGATTTAATTAAATGAATGGCACAGTCTGTTATTTCAGCGGTTGGAGGGAATGTCAGCGTTTTCTTTTAAAAAAAAATATAGACAAAAGTAAGGAATTATTGAGTTAAACAGATGATTATAAAAGACATTACCCGATAATCCATAATTTTCTGCATCATTGTATCATCATCTTCATCGTAGAAAGGTGTTTGCCCATAAAACAATTCATACAAAAGAACACCAATAGCCCAATAATCAAATTCAGGCCCGACAAGTAATGGCTCTTGATTATGTCGTCCACGTTGTCGTAAAAGTTCAATGTTTAAATATTCTTTTGTTCCAACCATTGTAGGACAGATACACTAATAATGTCAATCAAAAAAACAAAAGAAAGAACAATCAAATTAACTTAACACGTGAACAAGAATGACAATTGATTTAAGTCACTAAAACGAAAATGATTAAAAACTGTCGTGTCTGAACAAACTTCTCTTATCAACTGGATGATTGATGAATAAGCAAAGTAGATACTATATTTATTGCCACAAGAATATTCATATGAGAACTGAATGAAAGGTTAAAATTAAATCTGGTATCATTAGATGTAGAGATAATTTAGTGAATGTGACAGGGGGGAATTAAGTGTATTTATTTGGTAGTCAACTATTTTTGATCAAAAAGACAAAAGGTTCAGTGAACAATATAACATGTGCCACTACTTTAACAATATAAAAGCCGGTTTAAACATGATTCAAACACAATAAAGCTGAAATGAAAAATTTAACATTCTGAATCTAAATAATATATGAAAGAAATTGAACTGTCGAAATCAAGTAGATGACGTTTCTAAAGTCTGTTGATTAATTCGTATTCGGCATAACTAACTAACTCTGGGTATTGTTGAATGAATAGCAACACTTCATAATTACGGTAAGATAACTTTTCTCATCTACATACAATAAATACATCATAAAGGTGATGTAGCGTATCACTTGAAAAAATGAGTAAAAACTTTAAACTGAAATATTGATCGACGTAATTATACCACAAAAGCTTATCAACCTTTGTTGATGTGTGGCAAAACAGGAGAGTTGACGACATCAAATTCCAGCCACGCGTATTATTCAACAAGCTTTTAAACCCGTATCTTACTAACTTATAGATACACGTGTTCACTATATTTAGACAATAATTAGCTTTATTTTCAGTCAAGTAGGATGGGAATGAAAGTGGTCTATCTACGGAAAAATACAAGTGTATTCCGTAATTACTAATTAGAAAACTTTGTTCGCTACCTATTTAGGTTTTGTAAAACGTTTAAAAACGTGCTTTAAAATAAGTGATACACATAAATTGGGTTTTACTGTTCTTGATACCTTGAGCAGTCAATGATACAAATAGCACTTAGTCTATAGTTCTTTTTGATATTTTCGTGATGTGTAGTGAAGTAAACCATAGCTGTATTGAAATACTGCCCACTAGTTTACCACAACATTCTGAATGGATCCAGAGATCATGGGTAATCTAGTGAAACAAAACGTGATCAACCATCGCTATATAGATAGGGACCCTGACCTTTCCTTACATTTAGTAAGACATACAGGGTACTTTATAACCGAATATAGTTTGTTTCGGTTGTTCTTGAACTTTCTTGATACCCCTCATTATTCGCTATAATTATTTTCGTACCTTTTTTCCTCCCAAGCTGTTGTCATAAATAAAATAACAAAAATCTCTTGTCGAATTTCCTTGATTTAGTTTCTCGACCTTCCGGGATAACTTGAAATGAAATATGTATAAAAAATTGGACCATAAAATAACTTCGATAGTCATCCAGTAACCAGGTGATTAAAAAAATGAAGCTTACATTTAAAACGAGAGTAAATGAAAAACGCTCCTACTTGTTATGTAATTAAAATTAAATTGGTAGCCAATAACTTATTAATGAAGGTCATATACATAAAAGCAGTTAATCCACAAAAGCATGTATGATCAATGATGGGAGACAGTTTGTAAGTTAGAAATTGATGTCTTTATCTGCAATAAGCGCTTCACAATCAACATCAAAGATAGAGTTCAATCTATTAACAGTCGTCAAAACATGTAACTACTCACACAAAAGACCACTAAAAACTGAAAATTACTTTTCCATCAGCATCAAGTCTGATAGCCGAGCCAAAATCAATTAACTTCAGGTGTCCACTTCTCTCGATTGCAAAATTTTCCGGCTTTAGGTCACTAAAAGATAAAAAGTGATTGTTAACTATTAGTCAAAATCAACAACTATAAAAATGTTCCTGCGATTCATTACAGACTTTTATTTAGAAGATATAGCACAGTGAGACTATAAAGAGATTCCGAGTTATCTTTACCTCGATAATTGGGGAAGATGAAGTTACAATGAGTTAACAAGAATAAACTAGCAAATAAATAATGAATTTGTAAACATACCAATGGATATATCCCATTTGGTGCAATGAATGGATGGCTTCCACAGCTTCAGCAGCATAAAATTGTATCATTTTTGAATCCAGCAAATGACCAACTCTAAAACCGAAATATATCAAGACTTTAGTTTGAAACAGTTTGTTTTATTAACAAGATAGAGATATACGATTCATGGCAATTCATTTTATGGGGCTTCGGTTGAAAATTGCAATTACCTGGAAATCAACAGCAGAATCAATCCTAAATTGGTAGTTAACCTGATAGTAATGCAACATAGTAATTAAGTACATGTTTATGTTGCCCGGTTTAAACCTTACTTTCGGTAAAGACTAGTGATACTACTCAGTTGTCCAAATGGAAAATTATTTAGCGGCGTTCCAACTTTCAACATTGAAAGCAGAGTGACTCAACTACTAAGTCACTGCTCTATTCAAAGAGTAGTCATTTAGGTGATATATGAAACAAGTGGATAACATTAGTGGCGACGTACAAACGATGGATTTTACCGTAAAAATCTGTAATACACACAGGATCAAATTTACTCGATAGTACAATACATGAACACTTTCAAAACACTAGTATACTTGGAAATGAAATACCGCATTATGTTGGTAATCTCCATTTGGAGTCGGCTAGAATTTGTTTAGTGAATAGATAAATTATCTAGCGTAAAGTCACAACTTCGATTTTACTAGTCTCTAGTGCTGTTAGAGTTATAAGGGAAGTTTCTATTTTCCAGTCGCCTAAACAGCGAAAGAATATTCCTGAAAAAGAAACTTCATTAGCAGTGGTCATAATGACTTATAAGCGTGATCATAGAGCTCACGGGATAGCTGCTTGAGGCCAGTCAGATACGGCCTTTTTGTGAGTTTTCGGTACGTTTGCTTTATGCTCCAAAACCTATGGGGTGAGGTGAGTTGTGACATTATTACGGTCGACCTTTTCTTTCTGTTTTGAGGAGGAAACACTGCAGATGTTAGTTATCTGAGGGAAGCACCTTACTGCTGTCACACCTCAGTACATTCAGTAGTATGACTGCTCTCGAGCTGTTTTACGCTAAATGTTCCCCAACCGTGTTAGACATGGCAGGACCTAGAAGAATAATTATTCCAGCCAATAAAAAATTGGGTTATGCATCAGTAAAATGGTGGTTTTCTTATCATAGTGCCACCGAATCGGCACCGAACTTAATGAGCTACTAGGAAGTAAACTCCTCTGTTGTATTAACATATCTGTTTGTTTACTACCGAATATAACGTAGACGTGAAGCTGCATATTCTTAATCCAATCGCTAAAATACAAGAATAATATTCACCAAAACACAGACATTAATCCTCTCATGTTACCAAACGTGTGGACGCACACGTAGAACTCATATTTGTGTCATGAACTGAGTGGTTTATTTATGCTTATCTCTCATACATCTAATCAAACAAAAATATAGAAGTGATGAATCTTAATATTATGGTTTACTTGATTTTAAAACTATATAAATATTCACATAAACTTCGGTCACAGTTTTGTTTCTTTGGTTTGTGATAGATGCACAGATAAAAAACAACAGCCATAATTTATACTAAATGACCAATCCTAGGGTGACTAGAATTCAATTTGAACTAAAGTTAGTCAATGTAAGAAATTTGCTCACTTGCTTAAGAATATATACAAATCACCACCGGGTTCGTAGTCCATCACAAGATGCAAGTGCTTTTCATCCTGAAATGCATAATGCAAGTGCGGAAGCCATGGATTTTCAATGGCAGTTGCTTGCGCTAACACAGTTCTTTCAAGCAGAATCTGAGAGCCCTCCTAGGTAAACAAATAATGCAAAGAAATTATAAGAATGACTAAATTACAGAAACCTACCGGATCGTGATGCAGCCAAGCGCCTTTAAACTGCGACTTCATTGCATAGACTGAATGAGGAGGTGATACTTCACGTACTACACGTACTATTCCACAAGCTCCTCTGCCAACACATGCACCGAGTTTGAAATCCGATAATTTGAGACGGAATTCAGATAATCGAGTAATGATTGGCTTTACTAAAGTAAAAGAAAACGTCTATAAGATAACATTTATCAATAATGCAGTAAAGTAGATGGTAGATTATAGCTAATATCAACTTTTGGCATCTAGTATGAATGACACCAAAGACTTAGAACTTTTAAGTACAGAACAAAAGCAACTAATAAGTTTTCCTAACAATTTAATATCACATTAATTAAAAAGGTATACTACCTCGTCTGCGGAAGAATTTCGCAGCCAAAACAGTAGGAGAATGTTCGTATTCATCAGTCCCCCGATTGTCTGGATTATCCATACAGTCATGATAGATTTGATCAACCAAGGAATTCGTCACGAATAAACAATCTAGAAGACCGTCGATAGATAACAAACATGGGTCAGGATCGATCGGTCGATTGCGTTTGTTAGGGGGCAAAATTTGGAAACCATTCTGTGAACCTTTTCCAAATGAAAGACTGATTCCCATGCTGGGAGAAAAAAGAAGAGGAGGCCTTGTTAAGAGATCGAATAAGTAACTCGCACGTTGAGATGTCCATCCCAAACGTAAGGCATCTTCTAGGTATACCAAGCTATTATTGCTGTTTCGAGCTTTTACTTTAGACTGAAATACACATTTATCCTGAGATGTCGTTACACCATCAGTGTTTACTTCCATATCCAGATTAGCTTTGACATCTTTCCGTTTAAAATTATTTTTGTTTTCAGTCTGAAAGTTATGTGGAGTTGAGGAGATTAGAAAATTGTCAATGTGTTTTATCGGTGAAGCCATTTTCAACCTAAAAGCAGATTTTTCGTTACTGATGAAAAGACGAATTTAAAGAAACAAGATAGTGCATAAAAAAGGATTTATTTCTTACAAATTTGATGACAATATCATTTGGAAGAAACCAGTTTAAAAATATTTTTAGGAAACGAAGCCGCAATTTTAAAAGAATTGGATAAGTACAAAAGCTGTTTAACAGTACTTAAACGTACAGAGCGTGCTAACATCGTAGAAAAAAACTGTACATGATTGTCAAATTGTTCAGAAAGAAAATCAAGTTTTACTTTCAGATGTGAAATATCACAGTTTGGAGATAAAAGATCGTTTAACCATAATTCTCGTAGCTGAAGACCCATGTTGCAAAGATTATATATCTCTGTAAAAAGAAGGGAAGAAGATTCAGTTAACAGGCAAACGGACTGTAATTCATTGAGTAAATTTTTGTGATCTTGCACAAGATCAGCGAAAGTAAATGTCTCAGGGATATTGTGATTGACAAGCGTAGTAGGATAGAATTCAGGAAGACACCATTTGGATGAGAATCGAGTTCGGATAGCTTCGATTCTGTGTGCCAGGAAATCGTGTAGGCTTGTGAAAATAAACAACATTTTTATACGTAGTATTATAAGGTGATGATTGATGGGGAAACAAGTTGAAACTCTTTTCTCCAGAGTACTGAAATGCAAATTCTCAAGACTCCATTTGACATATTTGACCTGAAGCATAAGTAATAGAAACTTCGTATAATTGAGATAAAAATTGGAATGAAACAAGTGATCGAAGTGTTTAAACAACTCTACAGAAATAAAGCTATGAATGCCGATGTTAAATATATTTCGTAGAGAATAAATGATCAAGAATTAACAAACTAGTACAATGTTTTCATCTCTACAAACGATAAGCTAAAAAGCATCACGTAGCCCATGGTTAGGATTCTTCTGTAAATAATAAATCGGAGATCTAGAAAAATTCATTACGATCGAAGACTGATTGAACCAAACCACTAC